GGTCACAACTCAAATACACAGCCCAATCCTGTCCCACAACCAACAATAACTTCAACAACACAACTAACAACATCAACAACAACTAACAACTTCAACAACAAATCCAATCTCTTCTCAAATCATAAAAACGAGCTTGGTATGTGGGGGGAAAGGATAAACCCACACTAAAGACTCACATACCTGATTAGGGATCACCCCCGACGAAAATCCATGACGATCCTTAGCTTCTTCTTCTCTTTCTCCTCTTCTTTTCCTCTTATTTCTCTCTTATCTTCCAAGCCCTAACTCTCACTCTTACTCTCACTCTTTAAAATGGGACAAAAATGATCCAAACATCAGTCTAACACCTCAATATAACCCAAAGAAAAGATTAGGGAAAAGACCAAAATACCCTTAAAATTTTCGGACTAAACAAACTGCACTGTGCGACTGTGCCAAGAGCCCAACTTCCAAAGGGCATAACTCACTCACACGAACTCGGAATCAAGCAAACTCGGTGGCGTTGGAAAGATCATTTCAAGGGCTTTCCATACATAACTGGAAATTTGCCTAAATCATTTTGAGCTAGGAGTTACGACTGCTCAAAGTTGACCAAAAACTCTTTTTTTTTTCCATACTTAGCCAAATTTTCCAGATTATTTCCAAAATGACTATTTCCAATTCAACTCTTCTTGGAACTCAATGTGCTATACCTAGGGACCTTTACTTAACACTCAAGAAATTTTATTCCTCGGTAAAATCTCACTCCACATGAAGGACGTCTCGAGTCTTAGTTCGAAAAATTCTCTGGGGTGTTACATTTTTTGCCACATCACAAAGCTACAACAGTAAAAAAACGTAAAATCTCCATTTTCTTTAATATTTGGCATATTTTAAACAAAAAAATAGGGCAAAATGTAAATGAAAAGTAAAGGAAACAAAGATTAACACTTACTTGGTAAGAATTTCCGACAAATTTGAAATTCAAGGAGTTCCGCGAAATCAGCCCTTATTCAAAAATAACTTTTAAACGATGAATTTTAATATTTGGCATATTTTAAACGAAAAATAGGGCAAAATGAAAATGAAAAGTAAAGGAAACAAAGATTAACACTTACTTGGTAAGAATTTCAGACAAATTTGAAATTTAATCCACCAACTTCACGTTTAGAAAAACCCAAATCCAGAAGGAGTTCCGCAAAATCAGCCCTTATTCAAAAATAACTTTTAAACAATGAATTTTAAATTTAAGAAATTTATTTTTTGCAATATTAATTTATCTAGGTGGCTATTATTTATCCAGGTGGAAATCCACATCACCACTTTTGCCAGCTGTTGCGCACGTGTAGTCACAATAGGAGCAGGTGGACGAAAAAGGTGTACGCGACGGAGGAATAAACAAGTTCGGGGGTAATTAAAACGGAATTTAGTTTAGGTGTACACCGTATAAAAAGCTTCAAGTTCAGGGGGGTAATGAGTACTTTTGCCTATATTTTAAGTTATTACTGAAAACAGTGAAAAGGTATCAAACTAATAGGTCATAGTTTGGAAAGTTACCTATTTAAAAAAAAATAGGTCATAGTCTGGTGCTATCATATGCGGTTTATTACCGTGACTTTGAAAAGTTGAACAGGAGGTATTGGTGGCTGAATGCTGGGGTAGTGGTGTAGAAATTTTCAGCCTTGTGCAGAACAGAAGATACTGAAGGTTCTACAGGAAATTTTTTAGGCTGTGAATGAGTTCTGGCAATTGGAGTTCTTAACAGTTTGCTGTTCTGGATCAACTTTCTGATGTTAGCTGGCTAACCATTTTTACCATTCAAAGTATTACAGGATTTGGTTAAAAAGTAAATAAACACTTTTAATTTGCATAGAATTTTCTAGAATAAAGTCACCAAGTTAAAAATATCTGCATAGAATTTCCTAGAATAAAGTTACCAAGTTCAAAAAATCTGCATAGGATTTCCTAGAATAATCACCAATAGAAGGTTGGATAGACACTACCAAATAAGCCATGACAACTTAACAATACTGATTCGATCTGAGCTTTCTTATTGAGAATGAAACCAACCAGCAAAAAACATTCGCTGCGAAGACCAATGCCCAATTGCTGTACAGTAGAGTTGTATTTTACTAGTTATACCAGACGCTCTATTTCACGAGCAACTAGCAGTACTATGCACGGCTTCTCTTGCCAACATGCTATATCTGTTAATTCTTTGGTTATGATGGGAATGACTCCTAATTCAAGGAAGAATACAATTGTTGAACATCTTCTCCAAATATTTCTTTCTCTGCTGATGGATGAGTCTTCTCAAGTTCGTTTGAATATTATTAGTAAGCTGAAATACGTGAACCAGGTGATTCGAATTGATCAGCTCTCCCAATCCTTTCTGCTAGTTCTTGTTGAACTTACTGAGGATAGACGCTGGATGGTTCAGCTTGCAATAATATAGTTCATCCCTCTATTGCTGAGTCAGTTGGGTGTTCGCGTTTGCAATGACAGACTTGCTGCAGTTCACTACCTAGTTGGATTAACGCATTTTACATCGAAGGATTTTATCCTCATATCCTGGTTAGTGCGCACTATCCAAGTCTATTTAAGTATCCATTTGCATATTTCTTCCTTAATGAGTCCGAAGGAAAGAAAGGGCACCTACAATGCAGACAAAAATTGGATGTAATGCTATGGAACTGCTCACCAGTGGCTCTTAGTGCTCGGTGGACTCAACTGGTCTAGCAACAATCTGCTTCCTCCAGATATGTTGCTGTTGTTTTATTTAGTATTCCCTGGAAAGTTGAAGGTTCCTCCAGACATCATGTTCATTGGATGACTCCGCACATGCTATTTTTCATCCGACGAACTATATTATGATCCTCAATAGGGTTGTTTCTTTTCTTGGATTGGTAATGTGGCACGATCTATCTCAGGTATTAACGGGTTCATTTATAACTTGTGTTTTTCTGGGGTGTTCTTTCGAGCGATACAGTATAACTGGCTAGGTGAATTTTGTTGCATCACTAGCTATTTTTAGTCAAGTCGCTCATGATGCTACAAATGTGAACAAAGGGGCCTCTTAGGATACTTGAAACTGTTCTGAAATCACTGAGACACTGGACAGACAGAATTATTTCAGTACCATGATAATTTGAGTGGAGGTAGCATTAGAGTTATGGAGATTATTCATTCCCTCTTATTCGCAATGATGAAATTAGTAGAAGAAGATATGCCAAGATATATATCTGTTGCTTTTGAGAAACGAGGAGGAAGAAATGAGTTCACTGTGATGCTAGAAGAAATGACCATTACTGGTTCAAGGTTTGATATTGCCAGAATGATCCAGGCACTCATCATGTTAGCGTGGGGCCCCATTGAGAAAAAGTCCAATAGAATTACAAACAATGAATTATATTAGTGAAGGTCCAGTAGTGTATTATGGTGGCAGATTGTGCCTTGAGACTTCCTTGGCATGAATTCGATTATGGTCATGTATTCACCATGCACAACGAAGCTGAGAAAACTCATGAGTATGAATTCCCTGACTTGAACCTTGAGGACAAGGTTCTTATTGAGGGCGCGAGTATTGTTTTGAACTCTACTCAAGGGTTGGGCCTGGAAAGCATGAAGAGCAACTTGGGCCTGCATATAAATTAAGATGCAGTACTAGGGCTGACAACCCAGTAAAAGATTAGCAGATTATGATGAGGGGAGCCTGGTTGGCTACACATGACTTGGGCTATTAAAGGAAAGCAACCACAGATGGCGGGGCATTGAAGAACTTGTATCTTTATTTTCTTAGCTAAAGTTTTAGCAGTCTGGAACTTCCCTTGTCTGTTTCATCTTTTACTGCAGTATTAGAAATCATCTGTAGCTTCTTCAGTAAATATGGTTTCATTACACAGAGCTTCATCTAACATGTGGCACCTTGATGAACTGAAAACTTGATTTAATCATCAACTAGCATGCACTTGGTTGCTCATGGAGTTCAGCTGACCATCTAGCTCCAACTAAATCCAGTTAGTACTGCCCATTGCATGTATGTATGTTTTCTCTTTCGGATATGATAGAGCGAAACCCCCTCACCCACCCCAAAAAAATGAAAACAATTGCCTAGGAGTCCTTTTGGAAACTGCTTTTTGTGACTTGAACTCTTGATCTTTTGGTTGGAAAGGAAGTGCTCTATCTACTGGAGCAATCTCACTTGTCTTCCCTGCTCAAATTTTTACTTTTCTGCATTTCAGAAATTATAATATTCTCTTGTTTATCAGGTCCTACTGGAGCTGGCTAGGAACAGAAACAAGATTCCATTGCCGAAATCAATTGCTGGGTCTGGAGTACCACTCCCTCCTGAACAAGATACACTGATCAACCCTAACTATCAGCTAGCTATTGCAAAGAAGCAAACTAGCCAACCAGAAGAAACAGAGGAGGACGAAGAAAGTGCTGATCCCAACCCAGCTCCAAGCAAAAATCCAAGTCTTTCTCATGAAAAGACAGACGTACCTCAAGGTACTCCTCAACGAGTATCCTTTCCCCTTGGCGCTAAACGTCCAAGATGATGTCTTATGCTAGATCAGCTTTAGTCACAAGAGCCTTTGTAACCGTCTGCCTATGTATTTAATCGAAGGCATTGTATACTTCTTGTTTAAACATAAAGTATGAAACTTTAAGATCCTTTTGTAACAGTGAGTGTATCCTTTCCCCTTGGCGCTAAACGTCCAAGATGATGTCTTATGCTTGATCAGCTTTAGTCACAAGAGCCTTTGTAACTGTCTGCCTATGTATTTAATCAAAGGCATTGTATACTTGTTTAAACATGAAGTATGAAACTTTAAGATCCTTTAAATGCTCTTCCTTCCAGTAATTATTAGACACAATTAACAGAGAGTTGAGCTGTGAAATGAAGAATTACCTTGGCATTATCAATAGTTTTCCAACATATTCATTTGATAATGGTCACTCTGTAGAGTAGGATATGCTTTATTCTGTGTTTATTGTCTATAGCAACATCTATGGATGAATTGTATGATGAAATCAATTCTTTTATAACTATGTTTCATTCAACATGATCCCGAACAAATTCAGGGAATTGCATAAATAAAACTAAACAAACAACCCTTATTCTCGTAGCACAAGTGAGCCAAAGGTCCTATTGTCTAATTTCACTACTGGCTGCTGCAAAAATGAAAGCTAACACTACTACTTGAAAGAGGATTTCGCGCAAGTTTGGCGTTTGCATCATTTCATCTTTTCTTCCTTGAACAAAACATGACAATTCACACGAGGATCAAACTTTCTAAATTCAAGCTTTGTTTGATTTGTTACAAGTGTTTTAGTCTTCTTCTTCACATAGAAAAATCCAGTTCCAGCAGTTGAAACAAGCCTCACGAATAGAGCGCCAGCCTTCTTCTTGTCACCCATTAGCTTATTTGGTAGAGACAACTGAAAAGAGAATGAAGTTTTAGTTTTCCAAATATATAGAGCTCAATGGCTGAAAAACTAACAATTACCACAGATAAGTTTACACTAATAAAGAATCTTCAGTTTGGAGATGGTCGATCTCAATGGTTTAGGTTGGGTAGGCACTAGGCTCAGTGGCTCGAGGAGCTACTCGAATGTTGATACAACACCAATAACAACTAACAACTATGCCTCTATCCCAAACAAGTTAAGGTTGAATACATGAACCCCCTCACAGAAAAATCTGTCTAATGCCAACCCTTAGGACCTACCATAAACCTTTGGAACTCGGCATAACAGGCACACCCTTTTACCCTTCACCACTTAAATACTAGGTTTAGCTTGCATAGCATCAATATTATGCAAATACAAATAAAGCTACTTAGAGCATTGATGGCCAGAGAAATTTTATAGCTTAGCCAATTATTGTTTTTCATTCCAAAACACACGGACAGTATATCCAAACATGCACAAAAACACGTTTGAGAACTTCTTCACTCCTATGACCATATACAAAAACACACACAAAATAACAAAACAGCATCAGCATTATAGTAAACAATCACAAAGATGTACAATCATTGTAGTATATAGAAAGAGTCCGGTTCGTTTTAGCATTTTCACAAAGAGCTAGCGGGCGAAAGCTCTTCACATGTTAAGATACCCATCCTCAAAGTCATTACTTTACTCGGGAAAAGGGCTACCTCATACTCAAGGCTCGAACTTAAGAGGTACCTTGTTTGTCAGTGAATATTATTTCAACTACACAATGCTAAAGATTACATTTTTCTTTAAGAAACAAGCAATCTGCAGATATTATAGTTCTACTGTTAGAGTTTACTAGTTTTCAAGTTTTAGTTGCTCTTCTTCATCTTTGAGCACGCTTAGAAAACCGCCGCCGCAGCAGCACATACAACAGCTACACCCACCACCAATTTTCACCACTGAAGTTCTAATATTTTTCAGACAGTAAACCACTAAACCTTGCTATACCGAATCAGCTAGCGGAGAAACTAGAAAGCACCAAAAACCAAACCGAATTCACACATTCCAGGTGAACGAATCTCAATTAGGAGGAACATATGCATCTAACACGCTAGAATCGCACATCAATTTCCAAATTGGGGAAGAGACAAGCAACATCAAACACAAAAGGAGAATTCAAATCAAACTATAAAAACGAAAACAAGAGGATTCATAGGAGAGAACTCACCGATGTTAAACGAAGAAGAACCCTAATGAAATCACTCCAAAAGACGGGGGAATATCTCAAAATGACCGCTCGACACAGCTTGGAACCGGCCCAATATATATACTCCATTTTTTTTGTTTTCTAGACAACACCACACAAATTATTAGTTTCATTCCAAAATTATTGATAGCTTTAAAAAAAAATTTTACTTGACTTAACTAAATTTTCGATACACTTCAATATACAATATGACATAGAAAGTGGTTTTAAACTTTAAGAGCATGAAGTTGTTAATAAAAATCGACAGAAGTATTGAAAACACCTCTAAACTTGATGAGAATTTAGGCGTGTATTTCACTAATATTGTAAAATCGGGTTGTATTTAGCTTCAATTAGTCAAGTAAGGGGTGTATTTAATGATGTCAATAGTTTGGGGATGAAACTAATAATTTGCGCCAAGTTTAGGGGTATTTTTTATACTTCTTTTTTTAAAAATAAATAAATTTTGTGATACAAATAAATTTTCGAGTGAACAAATTCTTTTATACACTTTTTAGATGTTTCAAGTTGATAATTTGTATAGGTTACGGATTTAAATTGTGATTTATAATAGGTTCACCTCATATAGGTGAGTCCGAAGCCAAAAGGGTAAAAAAATTGTCAAAAGTTCCAAAAGGGCACATCAATTATTTTTTAACCAAAAGGGCAAAATCGCTCCGTTTTCTTCTGACAAAATTGATGTCGTTACTCCTTTAAAAAGCATAAAAATCGCTGCCCCAATAGCAATTTCTTCCAAAAAAAAAATTCTTTTTTCTTTAAAATCGCTGCTGTGGCAGCAATTTTGTGAATTTTTTTTTTAACAACGCTGCCCCAACAGCGTTTTTCTCAGAAAAAAATAATTATTTAAAAAAAATATAGAAATAGCTGCTATAGCAGCCATTTTCTTAAAAAAGTTAACATTTTTTTTATTAAAAATTCTCGAGGCGAAGACTGCTTAAAAAAATAATTGGAAATCGCTCCACGTGTAGCGATTTTAGTTAAAAAAAATAATCGCTGCCTTTGGCAGCGATTTCAGTAAGAATTATTATTATTATTTTCAAATTGCTGCTAGCAATCAAAAAGTATACAATAAAAAATTATAAAGTAACTCAATTGGGAAATTTTTTCTACTGAAATCGCTGCCTTGGCAGCGATTATTAAAAAAAAAAACATTTTAAACTAAAATCACTACACGTGGAGCGATTTCCATTTTTTTTAAATAATTTCTGACAGAAAATTAACGCTGCCATAACAACGATTTAATTTTTTTGAAAAACAAAATCACTGTTGGGGCAGCGATTTTTATGTTTTTTAAAGGAGTAACGGCGTCAATTTTGTCAGAAGAAAATCGCTCCGTCAGGAGCGATTTACCCTTTTGGTTAAAAAAAATTGATGTGCCCTTTTGGAATTTTTGACAATTTTTTTTGCCCTTTTGGCTTCGGACTCTCATATAGGTTCATTGTGCTTTATATATGGGTTACAAATTTAAATTGTAAGTAGGTATTAATACTTGTATAAGGTACTAAATTGTCTATATCACACTTCTTGTGGTACAGTCTTTCCCTAAACTCACATTAACGGAATGCTTTGTGCACCGAATTACCAAATTTTATTATAACTTTTGCTTATTTGCATTTATGTGGAGGCAATAGTTATACTTAAGTAAGAACCACCTCAAAGAGTTTCTCCGTATTTTGATTTATTCGGTTTATGTCATTCATGTTGGCTTTAAGTCTTTAATTTGGACTTTATTGGGGCATCTTGTGCACAGAGCAGAGCTACATTAACAAAAAGAATTCAGTCCAACTCACAAGTTTTTGCTTATTTCTTGTAATTTATACTAGAAATTAGAAAATATACTAACATGTATAAATGTTAATTACAAATTCAATAATTAAAATAAGTTATGAATTTTGACAACAAATTCAAAACACGTAAACTTCAAATTGTGATTTCATCTCCTCATGTGATGTGAGCCAATTCATATAACTTTAGATTTTCTTAACATGACTCATTTAACAAGTTGATACATGAATGTCACAAATTTATGGACATTGTATAGATAATTTTCTTTTACATTAAGTGTGTAAAGTTTGTATGTTCGTTTATATAAACAATATATTTTAAAATCTTTTATTACTCCGCAGGTTAATTTGAGTGGATCATTTTCTTATTAGAAAATGGTCAAATGCCCCCTAATCTATTATCGGATAGTCAACTACACACTTAAACTTTACGGGGGTCCTATCACCCCCTGAACTGTTTAAAATCGAAATTATTGTACCCCTAAAAAGTCACAACCATATTTATGTTGATGGGTGAAACTCACGCGTTTGACACGTGAAAATTCCATTAAAAAAAGTTTTTCTTCAATTCTTTCATTATTCTTTACTCTTTTCTTCTATTTTTTCACCATCTCTCCAAACCTAAAAATATTTTCACCATTTTCTACATTACTATAAACACCAAAGGTCTACCAATCACTACAATCTTGAAAAGGAGAAGGTCGGCAATGATTTTGATTCTCATTTGTCATTTCGTCCACTACTTGAAATAACCGAATCCATAAATTATATACATACATTTTATTATTTATTTATAAAAGCAAATGCCCAAGATGAGAAGATTCATCTTATTGGTTACATGTATATGATTGTCTATCACAATTTTGCCTTTGGTGGGACTAGGAATGCCACTATTTCTTCCTTCTAGGCCAACATGGTGAATTTTGAAGTTTTATTCATAATAAATTCAATAATCGAAAGTTCTGTAATGTTAATCATTCTAATATTTTTTGTTTTGAATGAATTGTTATCTTTTTTTTCCTTCTTTTAAATAAATCGTATATTTAATTTTTTGTATATGGTTAATTATTTAATAATAGAACCAAATCAAATAAAATTAAATTTCTTTAGTTTTGATTTTGATTTTTGACCAATCCAAACCGATTTGTCGGGCTGTACATTACGTAAGAAGCCCATTTATATTTTTATCATCTTTCCCTCCAATATTTTTGTGGGAAAATTTTCAAAACAACCTAATGATATGTATAACAAATTTAAAATACAAAAATTGTTAGTATTGATTTATGATGAATACAACTCTTTGGCATTCTAGTTCAAGTACAAAAATAAAGGAAATAAAGGCAGTTGTGAAGTATTTACTAAAATATAAATACAAATTAGTTGTAAATCAAAATGATATTGAAAAATACAATTGCGATGAATACATAAAACATAGAATAAGCTGTATTCAAAATAAATTGTATTTATATTTCAATATCCAGTTTTGTTATATTATTATTTCACTTTAAATTTGCAGAAAGTATTTTTTGGCTCAGTTGTATTTCAATATCATTTTGTATATCAAACGCAAAATGAATACCAATAATTTTGTATTCCCCTTCTTGTGATGTATTCGTCGCAATTATATATATTATGTATTCATAAAAATTATATTGCTTTAGCCAAATAAAATACAAAATATGTCTTACTAAGTTTGTATTTTAAATATCAAGTTGTATTTCAGTATGATTTTTTATTTCAAACGAAAAAATGAATACCAATAAATTTCTGATTGATTCAGTCATGGTAGACAATCATATGTTTTCCCCAAAATCTAAAACCCTAAAAGCAAATTTCGATATTATCAAAATATAAATGTATTAAATATCAAACAAAATAAACATATAAATGAATTTCTAGATTCTACAAAATCTGAAAAATTAAAAGAAAATCACAAAAAAAAATTTGTTTATAAGAATAAAAATCTGAAATACATAAATATTTGATAAATATCTAAACAAAATCACATAAAAATTGAAACATTTGATTGAAAATCCGAAATATATAGAATCCGAAATATACACCATAATCGATGATTTTAAACAGCAAGTCAAAATAATTCCAAATAAATAATGGAAATTACCTTTCCAATCGAGAAATCTCTTGAATTAATAAAGAGATTTCGTTTAACAATCGAGAAAATTTCTTGAATTAAAATATATATTTTGATGAACAATTTGTGAGCACCTTGAAGAAAGAGAATCTGGAAACGTGAAAGGCGAAGAAGGAAGGTTAATGGGTATTGATTTAATTTTTCTTTTCTTTTTAAACGGTTATTGATTTGGAATTTGATCCAATATATGACTGTTTTTATAAATAAAATTAATTTTAAATAATAAAATTTGAATACATATTATTTTCTAAAAATATTGTCATTCTGATATTTTAAATAAATATTTTAAAGTGTTGTTATTTTGACTTAGATTAGATATTATTAATTGCTAATTTCTATTTTTGTTCCCTTCCATATTCCCATTACCATAGATATAAAATAAAGTCTTTGCAAAATTTGAATTTCTAGCCATTGTCATCTCTCTCTCCTCCCCTCCCCTCCTCGTTTCTCGCGATATTATCAAGGTTTTAAGTAGTTTCTTCTCTCCTCTTCTTAGTGCCAAAGTTGTGTTGCTAATATTGATTTGTGATGTTACTTTCTCTGGAGAAGGAGTAGATCTGGAGAACTGTTTGAATTTGCGTCTTCTTTGAGAAAATTCTGCACTGTGAAATCAGTTGCTGTTCTAATTGTTGTTTACTTGAACTTTTTGCCTCTTCACTCAATGCATTGTGAAATAAGTGAATCTGTGATTAATATTGTGAAAGATTTTATTCAGATTTGAATGTCGATCGATTACGGCTTTGATTGCCGTGAACGATGTGTTTTCGCAGTAACAAATTCATTTGATTAAATTTCCAATTGCTAAATTCATCTGAATATGCGGCAAACTCTAGATTGTTCTGGTACATCCAGATACAAACCTACATCTCAAGGTAAACAATCAATTCAATCCTTTCTTTGTTGTACAATTGCCAAATGAGATTCAATTGTTTCTCCTCTTGTCAGTGCTGTTTATTTTATCCTACACTAAATCAATTGTTGAACACTGATTCCTCTTTTCAACGTGTTATAATGTGATATTCTTCCTTCTTATGGAGTGTGTTTGATGAATGCAGGCGCTTATTGGAAGTTTGCATTGAGGCCAATAAGGAAGTTGCTCAAGTCAATGTTGGTACGTTTGCTTGCATTTCACAAATAGATATGCATAATGAGTTTACAACAACGAGCACCTAGAAATTTTTTAATCCTTTATGGGTGTGTTTGGTAGAGATAAACTCATCCTAAGTTATCCCGCGATTTTATCCTAACTAAAAATGGGATAAACTCATCCTGAAATTAATCCTGGATTAGTTATCCCTTATCCCTCGTACCAAACGAGCCCCAACTGTTAAAGCTTGTGACTTTGAGTGGCTGTTTAATTGGATTTATAGACAACCGAAAATGGATGCTAAAGGTGAAACCTAAGCCATTTTGTGAATGCATTTTCAGCCATTGTAATTGGCTAACCAATTGCCGTTAAAGCCTGTAACTTTATCAGCAATGCAAACTAGATATAATCAAGAAGGAAATCCTGGTAAAACAAGAAGAAAATCTTGTCAAAAACCTACAATGAATATGGAGTGACTGGGGTAAATCATGCTAATATAATCCTGACATCTGAAGAACCTGATTCGAAATTTTAGGTACTGATTCTCAAATCCTTAAGATGTTATGAGTTGCGTTTTAAGTCATCATTGTTGGATTCGGTCTTTGGTATTATGAGAGTGGAAACCGAAAAATGAAATAAGCAATGATCTCTACGTACATTACAGTTTTTATCAATAATGGGCAAGTTTGGCTTCAAATAAAATTTATGCACAGTTTATATGCAATATGCAACAAAAAAAAACACTTATCATCATAAGATCCTCTATATATAATCTGTGAAGATCTCCAATACTGTATCTTAAAGAAAAATCTAATTGATAGGAAAAAGGAAAGCAACTTTCATTAGAACATTCAATATGGAAGAAACATAGATATGGGACAGTAAGAGGCAGTATAATGCCATTATTAGTGGAGCAAATTTTGGATCAACTTGGACTGTATGTAGGATGCATTATACGAGAACTATCTGAATTGGGGGTATTTTCATAGGAGTTAATGGGAACTGTGTAAAGATCTGATCTTTCATCCTGATCATATTCTTCCTGTTCATGTTGACTAGACGAAGAGATTCCGGTTACCTTCCTCAAACCTTCAAGTTCAATAGACACATCCTTCATTGTAGGCCTATCTTCTCCATGCGGCTGAAGGCAGTTCTTCACCAGCTCAGCCATCTTTTGGAGTTGCTCAAGACTCCCTTCCCGCAAAACACGATGATCAATAATATGAAACAAGCTATTCGAGTTCATGGACAACACAAAAAAATCGGCCAAATTCTTGTTCTCTTCACTTCTAGCTCTAATAATAGGTTTCAACCCTGTCAAAAGTTCTGCCAGAAGTACTCCAAAGCTGTAAACATCACTTTTCTCCGTCAGTTGACTCGTGCGAGAATATTCTGGATCCAAATAACCTGATGTCCCTAGAACCAATGTAGCCACATGTGTCTGATCTAGAGGAATTAACCTTGATGCTCCAAAATCTGCCACCTTAGCTGTGTAAATATTATCCAACAATATGTTGGCAGACTTAACGTCTCTATGAATGATAGGCATGGACGCAAATGAATGAAGATAAGCAAGTGTAGTGGCTATCTCTGCTGCAATTCTCAAACGGTTTTGCCAAGTTAACCAACCCGCTCCACGTTGGTTGTGAATGTGCTCGTACAGATTTCCTTCAGAGACATACTCATAAACCAATAAAGGAACTTCATCTTCCAAACAACACCCAAAGAACTTCACCACATTTCGATGGTTGATTTGAGTGAGAATAAGCACCTCATTGATAAATTGCTCAATTTGACTCTCATCCACAGTTCTAGATTTCTTAATGGCAACTATGCGAGTATCACGTAGCACACCTCTATATACAATCCCATTTCCACCATGACCAAGAATTCTGTCATTGGCATAATTATTTGTAGCTTTCTTGAGCTCCTCAGCTGTAAAAATTCTTGTTGCTTCCACAGCGCCCTCTTTTGTGGATATTCTTTCCTTCAATAGTAAACCACCGTTTTGTTGGAAAAACTTCTCCCTGGCTTGAATCAACTTTCTTTTCTTGATGCAAAAGTAGAGCAATGTTATCACAACCACTAGGGAGATTGACCCAACTCCAGTACCTGTGTAAGTAGTAGAGTTGAACTTTTATTGCCTATTTCAACTAAGCTAAAACAAAAGCTCAGGATTGTACACTTTCATTTTACTGTTGAATTTACATGCTAACATATTGGTGTTCCTAGAGGCTGTTTCAAACATATGAAAAGCAAGTTCTGTATTATTCAAACATAGTCTGGAATCTGGAATTTCTGTAAAAAATAAAATTGAGTTGTTCTTGGTCATAGATCATAATAATCATATATACGAAATATTGGAGTTTTCCCACATTCATGTTCATAATAAAAAAATACATAAGAATATGTGAAAACAAAAGTACTGTTTTGTCACTTATGTGGTGCGGATATGATGTACTGTTATATAAGAGAAAAATGTAATATTCAAATTTTGGATAAATAAAGTAACTATCAGTGAGCAAAAAATAGTTTGAAATAGACTTCCAAGCTTCCCAGACATTTTCTAGCATATAAATTATTATTTCCTCTATCCCAGTTTTATGTGATATTCTCTGTGTATGAAAGAATGTCATTTTTATATGATTAGAAAAAATTGAACTTTAAATTTATCATTTTACTCTTAATGAGATTGTCTCTTTCCAAAACTTTGTGCCTGGTCAAACAACATGAGATAAAATGGAAGGGAGGGAGTATTGCGGTTATGAAAATTTTCCAAGATATTTACCTAGAGAGAACTTCGTCCATAGGGACTGATGATCAGAGTAGGGAGGAATACAACTACGACCATCCTTTTTGCCATCATCGGTATATCCATCGGGGCAAGAACAATAGAAACTCCCTGGGGTGTTTGTGCAGTTCTTTTCACACGTATTGGCGCTTGGATCAGAACATTCATCAACATCTGGAAAAACCAAATAAGTAGAACACTGGTATAACTTATATCAAAGCATTTCAATTGATCAAATGGAGAATTAAGCAGACTTCATTGGTGTAAAAGGTTTGCCTTGATCTTTTCCATTTATGAAATATGAATTGCCCTGAAAAACTGTGTTAATCGTCCTACCTTGGCAGCCTGCAGTGAGATATGGATTGCCCTGAAAACCTGGTTTACAGCTGCAGCGGTAGCCACCAAAACCAGCATCTGAATCAACACACTCGCTATTTTCCTTGCAAGCATAATCCTTGCCATCTTGCGCTTGTGTGCATGTGAAATCCCCGATAGCCCAGTCGAGCACAATGGGCACACTAGCCATAATACTCTTATAAAAGGTAGTAACATTACTTACATCCTCTAGGCCCCTGAAATGGAATCGATCTACCTCGCCTAGAAATGCATACCCACATTGATTAAAATCCCAAACATCCGTGTGGTTTCGTGTGCTAGAAATAATTGGTGTAAAATTTTTAAAGCCCCTGGGCAAATGCACCTGATTGCAGCCATTACCCATGCATTTACCGTCAATCACGTCGTTCGAGCTGGTACAGCTGGTGGAGCAGTTATACCCAAAGTTTGGGCCCGTGATGAGGGCATTGTCATCGCAACCGACCAAGATAAACATGTTCCTTGCAGAGAAACTATAGGGATAACTTGAGCCCCCCAAATACATCCAATTGAGATTTTCACGGTACATAGATCCATTTTCATTATAACATCTCCAAGCGATGGCATTCTCGACGCGCAATTCAGCATCAGAGATGTCGTACACCTCAATGCTTCCTATTAAAGGTTTCTGAGTACCATCAGTCGAAACGTTGCAGATAACCTCGAACCCTGAGTTAATGGCGCAATCTGAGCCAATACCAAATGGGTATGGAACTGTTACGTTCCCGCACCTCTTACGGCATCCTGGTTTTGTTGTATTTGCAGCTTTGATGCTGGTGCTACTAGTCGTGTTTTGGGCTGGGGCTAATGTCAGTAGTAGTAGTAGCAGCAGCACACAAGCGTAAAAGGAAGTAATTTGGCAAGGAAGCAAATTCATGTGTTTTAGGTCCATGGTTTTTGAGAATTTCCAAAATGATGCAAACTCTAGTTTGAGAGTACAACTGACTCATAAGATTTTTCATATTAATAAAATGCAACGATTTGGGGTCAATCATGCCCAACAGGTAATGAATAATGCCTTAAACAATGATTCAGAAGAGTCAAGAGGGACAGTAGTATTTGCCGGGGTTGATTGCTGTCAAGATATTCTCAAAGGTAAGAACAAGTATCATGTATTCTAGCTTTATTTTTAAAACTGTTTTGGTTAAATTTAGGGATGCATCGGTCCAGTTTTATGTCCTCACTAAACCGATGATCAAACCAACAAGATATTTATTATTTATTATTGATTTTTTATCTTTAATGGTTTGATTTATGGTTTATATATATATATATATGTATGATGTTTATAAAATTGAAATAGTAGCAAGTGCAACACAAATAGTATTAGGATAAAATAAAAAAGTGTTTTTCAGCACTGAATTTAAAGTTAGAAAGACAAAAATTACAAGTCCATCGGTTCTAAATCACTTTTATCTCTTTCCAAAAATCATTCAACTATTTTATTTATTTACAGAAAAAAAAATTAAAAATTAATAATAAACTAACTTGTACATCTGGGCAAAAATTTATAAGAAGCAATTCTGTCACTATTATTCTCTAGCGTGTACATAAACTCATTGACGTAGATAATCTAACCATTTGCACTTGTAAGGTCATCGGAAGAGACTGGTTCAACATAGGTCATGCACGCTTCAATATGGATCGTGTACACCGTCTGTGCTTGAAAAACTATTAAGTAGACGTTTGGTCAGAGCAATTTTGAGATTCAAATTACATATTCAAATGAAATTTTAACTTTAAATCAAAGTCAAACGATGTCTAAGAAAAGGATTGACGGACCAATCCTATACAAGGAAAGCAAAGGAATGAGGGTCAACTCATTAGGCATTTAAGCTTATAAAAAATTTAACAAATGCTTTTCCAAACACTGTTTGCTTGGAAACCAGTTTTAGGATAAAGTTTAGAAAAAATTATTCTGAATAAAAATATAAAGGTATAGTAGTTTATGTACATCTGGATCACTTTTCTTTTCGGTGGGATCTATGTCACGTATGCACTGGGGTATTATGTAGGTCTGTGGTAAAACATAGTATAATTTTTTGTCCCAAACTTAGATTGACAAGAGGTTAATTTTGTTGGAATCTGAACTCCAAGACCTTTATAGATTGCAAATATGTTCATTTCAAGTCAAATAACATAGAGATTATTAGAAATACTTCCCGTAATTAAACTTTAATTTCAACTAGAATTTTTGTTTCTAGGCTGCCATGGCCTCTAACTTTAGTCTTAACACTTCAAGTAGTAGACTTAATATAAGTGTTCCTTGGTTCAATTACCCATTTGCAACTACTCTCCCAACATCTCAACAACGGGTGACATAAAGTTATAAGATTAACCTTGTAAATTCTTGACGACCTAATTTAAATACTCTGAACATTTGGTGTGTTACATCATAATTAGACTATTGGTAGGAAACATTTCGAATTCTATTTTCTAGACAAAATGGATGAATCTATATTAACTAGAGTTAATTGAAATCTCATAAAGGTCTGATGGTTCAGCTTCATTCTCTTCATCTCAACGTTGACTAGACCAAGAGTTCCTAGTAAACTTCTCAGACCTTTAAGTTCACCAACCACTTCCTTCATTGTAGGCCATGCGAGCAGAATTTGTTCTTCACTAGCTCACCCATCTTTTGAATCAAGACTCCTTACTGTAAAACACGACGATCAAGAATTTGAAATAAAAAACTCTTATTTATGGACAAAACAAAAAGAGAGACCAAATTCACGTCCTCTTCGTGATAGAAGTAGTAGATGTGAACTTTTACAATTAATTTGAAGTTTACATTGATTGTGATAGAATACTTCCATTCAAAATAAATTTGTTGTATATAATTAGTTAATTAGTATACATAAAGTTTATTGTGGAGCTATGTATATACATTTAGTCCATGTATTCTATTGTAATTGATTAAAGTATACTTCGACAGTGATGAATTACCTTCATTCAAAAGGATTAAGATATGTATAACCAGGTTATGTATATTTAAACTCGACTGTATAACTAATTTATACTATATACATTTGATAGATGTATACGTTTATAATTAATTTGAAGTATACATCATTGTGATAGAGTACTTTCCTTTAAAAGGAATTTGTGGTATATAATTACTTTATGTATACATAAAGTCTACTTCATAGCTAATTTATATACACATATAGTATATGTATATACTATTATAGTTGATTAAAGTATACATCGACAATGATAGATTCGTGTTCATTCAAAATATTTTTGATATGTATAATTAGGTTATGTAAACATAAAGTCAACTGCATAGCTAATTTATATATACATATAGTAGATGTATACTTTTATAATTAATTTGAATTATACATCGATTGTGCTAGAGTATTTTCATTTAGAAGGAATTTGCGATATATACTTAATTTATGTATACAAAGTCTACTGTATAACTAATTTATAGAGGACATTTATGTTTTTTTTTTTGAGAAACTACATAATTAAACATACTCCAGTACTATATATATATATATATATATATATATATATCATCTGTACTTTCAAAACATTACATAATCTTACTACTAATTAAGAGTTTCCTACCATATATTAAGAAAGATACACCAAAATACATGCAGTTTTTGCTACCAGGTATACTAAAGTAGGAAGAGAGGCGAGTGAGATGGGGAGGGAGGCGAGCTAGAGTTGTTATGTATCCCAGATACATGTGAATCACACTAGATACATGTACCTGTCGGTGTGATTTGTATGTATTTGGTATCCGAATACATAGGAGAGTAGCGAACGAGATTCGTTATGTATCCTAGATACATACGAATTCACTTGGATACCGTGTATCTATAACAAATTACACCTAATTTTGACCCATGTATCCCGAGTTACATGTATCTGAATGCAACGAAATATGATAAATTTTGTAATATTATAAACTAGAATGTATCTAAGTAACTAGCTCCTAAACAAGTGGGATGTTTGTAAGTTTCATATTTCACCCAAGCCCAAGAGAAAGGATTTCATGTTTTGAGCGTACTGTAATTTACAATTACATGCCTCCAACACTAGAAGGAAGAAAACGAAAAGAGAACCACTCAAAAGAAAAGAAAAAATTAAAATTGAGAAGAAAGGAACTTACATAATTAATACATCCATTATGAAGTTAAGAAACATAGGGATGGGGAGAATAACTTTATGTTACTAATTATAACGTACAACCTTATATTATTAATAATTGAATTAATTAAAACTGTGGAAAGATCTAATAATTTTTCCTCATTCTCTTCAAGTCCATGTTGATTAGACCAAACGTTCCTAGCCTATATATAAAAGTTACGTACATTGACAAAATGCAGACATTCATGGGCAGAGGCGTATTCAGGATTTATAGATAATGGGTGCACTATTACAAAAAGGTGGATCTAAGACATAAGTTTGACCGGTTAGATTCTTTTACTGAAAACCATTAAAAATTTTAAAATCATAGGTCCAAAATTAACTTTTATTTATCCAAACCAGTTACAAAATCTTAGAAAGAAAACTAAAACAAGATAGATAAAAAATTCAAATTTCTAACCTCACCTAGAGAGGTGCACCCAATCATCATCGTACTACATTATATGATACTTCGAGTCTGGGTTCACGCACCTATATTTAAATATTTTTAAAAAATATAACACTACTATATATGATTTCGGGAGGGGACCATGGGTTCACGTGAACCCGGTGACCCCCTCCTGTATACGCCCCTGTTCATGGGGTAGTTTGATATGACGGATTAAGGTAGATAAAGATATTTTGAAAGTATAGATAATGAAACATAATAATCTTCGGACTAATTAATATCTATAATCAAATACGAGACAAAATAATCTCACATTTCTTATCTTAAAATTGTTATTCTTATCCTACCAATCAAACAAAGCCAAGACTTATAATGTCTAAGGGGCACGGTTCATATATTGCCTTGTTGACTCGTGATTTGAAAACAAGATTTTAGGTGTTTTTCAAATTTCAAATTTTCATAATAAAACACTGATTTTTAAATAAAATAAACACAAAAATTGAAAAATTCTCATAATCAAATGAATACAACAATCTCGGGTGGCAATTGAATTGCCGCTAATAATTATGAAGGGGACCCAATTTTTATCATCTTTCCCTCCAATTTTTTGTTTCCTTCAATGTTCCCATTTGAAATTTTATAGGGAATAGAAACTATAATTCCCAATTTCCCATCTCTCTCAATCCATGGAGGAAGTACCATTGCCATTCTCTTTGCACGAGCTCATCACTGTGTAAAGATTATTTGCAGGCGATAGTATTGAAGGTTTTACTTTCTTCTCTCTCCTTTTTTTAGTGCCAAAAATCTGTTGATTTGTGATGTTACTTTCTCTTCCTAATTGCTGACCCAGGGGAAGGGTTAGATCTGGGTAACTGTTTGATTTTGCGTCTCCTATGAGAAAATTCTGCACTGTGAAATCAATTGCGGTTGTATAGTTGTTTACTTGAACATTTCGCCTCTTCACCCAATGCTTTGATTGCTGTGGATATGTGATTGTCAAACTAATATTAAACTGGATGAGGTGAACTTTAATCATTGAGTATTTTAGTGAATCGTATGTTTTTGTAGAGCATGAAAACTGTTGAGCTAAAGTGTAAAGGGCAAAAGTTAGTTACAAGTTTGTTAATAAGTAGTTACAGAAGTTAGTTATGATTAACTGTAGTTAGGTAACTTAACTAGTCTGATTAGTTAGTTGATTCACACCTTTATATAGTGATGTTTAGGTATCATTGTAAACTACTATTGCAATCATGATGAACTGAATGAAACTTCACTTTTCTCTCTTCTTCTTAGCTTATTGTTTTCTCATTCATTCACCATTATTGGTGCTTAACATGGTA